TTACTGGTCCTACATCATGTGGTGGAAAAAATTATTATGGTGAAAAAGAATTATTTTAAAAGTAATAAAATCAAACTAAACTATGAAAGAATTCCATGGAATCTTGACCATATGCACAGATTGATTTAGGGAAAGTTTCAACACAAACTAGTTTAATGAAATATCTAATAAAATGCTTGAATTACACAATATACTTTAAAAAGAGCTACATTTACTTTTTTATAAGTAGCTGAAAAGTACATAACTAAGTTGACAGGTAATTTTTTTAGAGCTTTTTAAATAAAAGGCAGTAGTAAATAATGTGCATACTAACAGTTCACAAATGGGTGCTATATTGACTCTAAAATAGTTAAACTATTTTCATTGCAATATGTTTTACATTTTCTATTAGGGAAACTTTGTTGAAATTCTAAACACGTTAAAATGATGAAATCCAAGTGGTAAGATTTTACTTAGATAAACGAAGAATGCATCTAGCAGAATTCTTACAGGTAGGACTATTTTTGGTTGAGAATAGAGAAATAATGACAACGGTCTTTCTCCAGCTGTTTTTAAGGATTCAGTATCTTACTTGCAATTAAATACTCCATCAAAAACACATTTAAATGATTAAACATCTATGAGTTCACTTGGTATGCCATTTAAAGTATATCTAAGGACTACCTCATGACTTCCAATTGTTTCCATGAGATCTCCCCCAGTTTGTTCTGCAATATCAAGTAATACCTATTTGAGTACTGAATTTAAAGGGATTTCTACCATGCAGCTTTGACAATTAGGACACTTGGCTTTGCCTGGTTCATCAAAATGCATAAGTAATCAAAGGGCTACTTAATTATGTCATTCAAGAATAACTCCTAATGGACAATAATATCTATATTCCACTGTGGATACTTTCAGGGGTATTTTTTATACAAATGGTAAGAAAAACATTAATATGTTTCATTAAATATTAGAAGAAAAATATCTAAGTACATACTAAGAAGATTCCAAAGTCCTAAGTATTGCCCCTTTTATTTAAAAAAAAAAAAACAGATCCAGGTATTCAGAGAACTCTTGTTGTTCTCCAAAGCGGGGCTTTGAAAGGAAGTTTTAAGAGCTGAATGAGAAACAATAAGCCAAAAGCAATTTACCAACGGGCTGTAACTGCAAACATTTCATCCGAAGGGAGGAAAGCAGCTTTCCAAATCAAGCGCCAATGAAAAGTTAAAATACGTAAAACCCAACACTTAATTTCATATAAAAAGAAAAGAAAAGTAACATTTCAGGCATGGGTCCTGAAGTTTCATTTAAGAAGACAACAGTGAATCCTCTATTATAAACTAAAAGCTAAAAAGTCGTTGGAAGAAAACATTTAAAAAGGAATACAAGAAACATTCAAGTGTTGACATTTCACAGCAAGGAATAATAAGACAACAAAAGAACATGCCTGAAGTTTCATTTCTTAAAATATATTTCTAATTACTTGAAAAACTTGAATCAAAATTAATATATGTCTTTTAAGGGAAGTTGAATTCCAAGATGATAACTTTCTTTGAAGTATTATCTTTATGAAAAGGTAGCTGTGTGGTCGTACAGTTTAACAGGTGCCAAAAATAATTATCTAAATACACTTTGCTCAACTGACGGCCTCAACATCTGAAATGAGAACTGAGGAGTTTCTTACTCTCTCCCGGGGGTTCCCATTTTAGGTGCAGATACTCCTCAGAGACAGGTGGCATGGAAGCCAGAGACACTGGCGAGGAAAACAGCTGCCCAGGCTGCCCTCCACTGCAACCTGAAGGACTTAATGTTTTGGCCCAAGGCCAAATTTGCTCCTAACTTCTAGGTCCATCAGCTTTAACTCGCTAGTCAGCTGCTTCCATAGGAGCAAAACAGTGTCATTCACATTCCCAACTAAAAAGGACTCATTAGGAGACACTCCTGCTTGATTAACTCAAGCATTCAATGCAAGGACACATGTATCCGAGGACCTCCCTAAATCTCACATTTTATTCCTATGATTCCAAGTAATTCATCAAATTATAGCTGATGAAAATGACAAGCATTTTAACGAGAAAGATGATATGCTGTTATAAAGTTGTGGAAATAGCCCTGACCAATATGTTTTATTGTCTTTTTAATAAATTCTGGGGGAAGGAAATGGTTTTGAAATAGCCCCAAGTTATCTATGTTCACAGTTTTCTTCTGTAGGGTCACAGAATTGCAAACAGATGTTTATTTAAAAGCCAAATATGAGCTCATATTCAGACTGGAACTTTGCTTATCTCATAATGGCTATATACTGCATAAAATGCAGGATAATCACAAAGATTTAGGATCTTTGATGACACAAAGAGACACATGAAATAACTGTTCTGGTGACAGAAAGAAATACCCCATAATTGATACAGCAAAATAAAGAAGGGCTTCTTTGTTCTGAATTCTCCTCAGAAGGCCTAGATATATGAATCGGATTCAATAAATTTGCTACTCATTTTACATTGCCTCTACAGTTAATCTGAAAAACATTTAATTTTTAAACAAAATTAAGTTAGGATGAAAAAGTTGGAGATTTTAAGTTAAAAATCAAAGATCTAGACAAAGGAGCTAGAGAAAGAGCTAAACTTCCAAAAAATTTCTATTTCAAAAATGCAATACATTTCTGGATGCTGTGCTGCAGTCTGTCTTGAAAATACTGAAACTGGAAAATCGTTAGATAAAGTTAATTTTACCTACAATTTTTAAAGCTCCAGAAAATTATTATATGACAGACAGCACATACCTATTTATGATTAGTACTAATGTCTATTCACTACCTTCTACTGTTATCAAAGAAACAACAGTTTCTCTTAATGAACACAAAATAATCATTAACAAATTACTTTGGCAGCACATAGGTATAAGAAAAGAGTGTAAATACAAAATTAACAGAGTGTTTGCTTCTCCTCACTTTTCTCAATAGCTCTTTGGAGTACCTGGTGCTTTCTATCAGTTTTCAAGAGCATAATATTTTCCAATCTCTATCAAAATAAGAAATGTAATGGAAAATGGATCTTTCTTCTTCTGGAATTGCTTGAGTGTTTATAGTATATATACAGGGATATCCTTTGAGATGGAAGCATCAATCCTATTAAACTCAACTATGGCTTCCCCATCCCTAAAATAGATTTGACATACAGACACAAGCACAAGGTCAAGGTCACAGATCAGCAAGAAAGATTACCAACAGAACTGATGTAACCAGCTGGCTTTTGATCAAAGCTCCTAGGGTTTTTAGTACATTTAGACACACTGCGCTTACTCACAGGGTACACTCTGTTTTAAAAATGTTCCCCATCTTTGAAGTCAAGATCTTCATGCACTTCTTATTATAAAGTATGTTCTGTTAAATATATTGTATTGGATCAAGAATAAGAGAAGAAACCAGTATGTGTGTTACAGAATTGTGAATTTTTTTAGTAGAGACAGGGTTTCACCATCTTGGCTGGGCTTGTCTTGAACTCCTGACGTCGTGATTCACCCACCTCGGCCTCCCAAAGTGCTGGGATTACAGGTGTGAGCCACTCCACCTGGCCCAGAACTGTGAATTTTTATGTGCTTGCATGCATGTATATATATGCTTGCATTTTTTTTTTGTTTGCTTGTTATAACTGATTTTAAAAATTTAAAATTAACTTAACTTGCAGTTCCCTGAATGGATAATGCTCTCTCACAATTCCAAGCTTTTGACCCATCTGAAACTGAAATCAGTAGTGTGTTCTGCAACGTCTTGGGTCACTTGTTCCCAAAAACACAGATTTAACTTCTAAGTCACTGCTTCAACAGGAGAAGTTTTATAATGTATCCACACTCTTCCATAACAATTTTCAAATCACAGGGATCAAAAGAAACTTTAGTTATCAATAGTGACAAAAAAGTGATTCTTAAAGGAATATATTATTAAATATATGAGTGCAGGCCAGATGTGGTGGCTCAACCTGTAATCCCAGCACTCTGGGAGGCCGAGGCGGGAGGATCACCCGTGGTCAGGAGTTCGAGGCCAGCCTGGCAAACATAGTGAAATCCTGTCTCTACTAAAAATACAAAAATTAGCTGGACACAGTGGCATGCGCCTGTAATCCCAGCTACTCAGGAGACTGAGGCACGAGAATCTCTTGAACCGGGAGGCGGAGCTTGCGGTGAGCCAAGATCGCACCATTGCACTCCAGGTGGGTGACAGAGCAAGAGTCCGTCTCAAATTAAAATAAAATAAAAATGAAAATAAAATAAATAAATATATGTTATTATCTAACAAATCACGCCTTTTGTTTTGGCTGTTTAAACAAGATGTTAAATTTATTTTAAGTTACATTTATGAAACCAAGAGTTATGTGATCAATGTTCTTACTGAAGCATGCTGGTCAAGAAATCATTTTGAAGGATGCATAAAGCTGTTGGGGTAAATTTACACTACAAAAGCTTTCCTTGTTAAATCAAGTACCACCTGCTGTAGCTTTATACAATTTGCAAATTACTTATGACATACGTATATGTAAATGTTCTCAATTAGTGTTTTTTCATATTTTTGATCAATTAAATACCTTTGAATGAAAATAACCCAAAATTTACTATCCTAGACAGATTGCTAGTTTTTCAAAAACAAAGTAAAAAAGAAAAATTATGTCAAATTATCAAATTAAATACTATTGAAATGACATATATGACATCACTGTAGTCATTACAGGCCCAAAACACAAAGATATCTAGACTGAAGTTTCCAGTCAAGCTGTGGAAGAGAAATATCACTACAGACACAATCCATGAACGCCCAGACATGGAGGCCATACCTGTAAAGGAGGAGTCAATAAACCTGACTAGGTCCCATCCTACAGGATGAAGGAATCAAAACCAAACATACTACATGCACAATGTACCTGGAGAACTTCTATGTCTTGAAATTCTCACAGGTATCATTCAAGTATGCCTGTCAACTCGGAAAATGAAGCTACCAGCACACCATCAGCAGGCTACTTACTCACTTGAAATGGTTTTACTTTTATTGAAGAAACTGCGGTGCGTGCTTTTCCCTGATCTCTTCTATCCATACAACCAAGTGTTTGAAGCAGCAATCTCAGGAACAACAGCCGGTAAATGCTAATCTGAGACCCAGTTCTGCTGTTGTCCAGGTTTAGGGCACGTTCAGTCTGTGCAGCAGGGACAGTGACACACGCTCCTTGGCATGGCACCCGCCGCTCGTAGTCAGATACAGACCCAGGCCGGGGAAGAGTCAGGAAGCTTTAGAGGACGACTCCGGTCTGCTGAGGAGACACAGGCAGATTAGCGGTCTAGGGAACACGGGTCGGGGCTTTTCTGATTTCAACGGTTGGACCCAAAATATTTCAGAACAACTTTTCTCTTAACAATAAAGATCATTAAAAACAACTACTTACTTCCTACTACTAGCATCATTTACTGAAATTAAATCATCTGAACAATGAAAACTAAAATCTTTAATGAAAATCTCTCATCATTTTCCTGTTGTTTTTTGTCTTGAGATAGAATGATGATGTGTGGGATGGCACATATATACTATATTGTTCTCCTCGCTATTTAGTCGTTCATTTGACTCTTTTTTTTTTTTGAGACAGAGTCTTGCTCTGCCACCCAGGTTGGAGTGCAGCGGTGCAATCTCAGCTCACTGCAACCTCTGCCTTCCCAGGATCAAGTGATCCTCCTACCTCAGCATCCTGAGCAGCTGGGACCACAGGCACACACCACCATGCCTGATTAATTTTTGATTTTTGTAGGGACAGGGTTTTACCATGTTGCCCACGGTGGTCTCAAGCTCCTGGGCTCAAGAGATCCTCCTGCCTTGGCCTCCCAAAGTGCTGAGATTACAGGCAGGAGCCACAGTGCCTGGTCCTAGTTCATTCAACTCCTAAATTACTTAAATCTTTACATCAGAATTTCCCAATGTTTATATTTTGCTTTGTGTTTTGGTCTTTAACTTGCTTTCAATTATCGCATTTATATAAAATACATAATTTGTTCTATAGAAATTCTTGTCATTAAACAAAAGGTTGTAAATAAGACAGCAGGGGAAAAACAGGGCGGTAAGAAGAACAAAGAACCTTCTGCCTAGTGCCCTTCCCCCCATACCATCCTTACCATCCTCATCTTTTGAGGAAAAATACATCAGACTTAAAAATGCATCGAGAATCCTGTAATAAGCCCCATTTGTTTACAGTCAAGCTAAACAACTAGGACATCTCTTTCGTTCCGTAAGTCTCAGCTGACAACTCATCCTCTCTTTAGGCAGCCTTCACTGAACTCCACAGCCTGAGGGTGGCTGTTCCTCTCTGTGACTCCACAGCACTCAGTAGATCTTTCAATCATCTTGCTTACAAAACTGTACGGTCACACGTCATTTTATTGTGCTTTGTTTCATTGAACTTTGCAGTTATTGTGGGGGTTTTTTTTATGGTTTTTTTTTTTTTTTTTTTTTTTATACAATCTAAGGATTTGTGGCAATCCTGTTGAGGAGTCTATTGGTACCATTTTTCCAACAGCTTGTGCCCACTTTGTAGCTCTATGTCTCATTTAGGTATTTCTCCCAATATTTCAAGCTTTTTCATTATTATTATAGCTGTTATGGTGATGTGTGATCTTTGGTGTTACTATTGTAATTGTTGTGGCGTGCCATGAACTACGCCCATATGACAGCATACTTAATAAATACGTGTGTTCTGACTGCTCCACAACTTTGCTGTTCCCATCTCTCCCCCTCTCCTCAGTCCTTTTTATTGCCTGAGACACAACAATATTGAAATTAGATCAATTAATAACCCTACAATGGTCTCCGTGTGTTTTGCATGTCTCGCACTTTAAATCAAAAGCTAGAAATGTTTAAGCTTAGTGAGGAAGGCATGCTGAAAGCCAAGACGGGCCAAAAGTTCAGCCTCTTGCACCAGTTAACCAAATTGCAAATGCAAAAAACAATTATTGTAGGAAATTAAAAATGTCACTCCAGTGAACACATGAATGATAATGAAAACAAAACAGCCTTATTGCTGATATACAGAAAGTTTTTGTGGTCTGGATTTAAGATCAAACCAGCTATAACATTCCCTTAAACCAAAGCCTCATCCAGAGCAAGGCCCTAACTCTCTTCAATTCTATGAAGGCTGAGAGAGGTGAGGAAGCAGCAGAGGTGGTTCATACAATTTAAGGGAGAAAATAATAAAACTGTGCAAAGGGAAGCAGCAAATAATGCTGACAGAAAAGCTCAGCAAGTTATCCAGAAGATCTAGCTAAGATAAATGATGAAGGTGGTTATACTAAACAACAGATTTTCAATGGAGACAAAACAGCCTTAAATTGGAAGAAGATGCCATCTAGAAATTTCACAGCTAGAGAGAGGTCAATGTCTGGCTTCAAAGCTTCAAAGAAAAGACTGACTCTCTTGATCAGGGCTAATGAAGCTGGAAGTTTGGTTGAAGCCAATGCTCATATACCATTCCAAAAATCCTAAACCCTTAAAAATGATGATAAATCTACTCTGCCTTTGCTACATAAATGGAACAACAAAGCCTGGAGGAAAGCACATCTGCTTACACTATGATTTGCTGAATATTTTAAGCCTACCGTTGGGACCTACTGGACAAAAACGAAAATTCCTTTCAAAATATTACTGCTCATTGGCCATGTACCTGGTACACTAAGAGCTCTGATGCAGTTGTACAAGGAGATTAATGTTGTTTTTACGCCTGCTAACACAACACCCATTCTGCAGCTTATGGATCAAAGAGTAATTTTGACTTTGTATCTTATTGGAAAAACAAATTTTCTAAGGCTTTAGCTGTTATCAAAAGTGATTCCTCTGATTGGATCTGGGCAGAGTCAATTGAAAAGCTTCTGAAAAGGATTCACCATTCTAGATGTCATTAAGAACATTCATGATTCCTGAGGGGAGGTCAAATATCAACATTGGTAACTTTATGGATGACTTTGAGGAGTTCAAGACTTCAGTGGAGAAAGCAACTGCAGATGTGGCAGAAAAAGCAAAAGAACTAGAAGTGAGCCTAAAGATGTGGGTAAATTTCTGCAACCTCATAATAAAACATAAATGAATGAGGAGTTGCTGCTTTTTTTTTTTTTTTAAACTCCTGAGCTCAAGTGATCGTCCCACATCGACCTCCCCAAAGTGCAGGGATTACAGGCGTGAGCCACCACACCCAGTCTGCGCAGTTGCTTCCTAAAGATGAGTAAAGAAAGCAGTTTCTTGAGATGGAATCTACTCCTGGTGAAGATGCTATGAACACTGTCGAACAAACAACAAAGGATTTAGAATATCATGTAAATGTAAACTTAGTCGATAAAGCAGTGGCAGGTTTGAGAGGACTGACTCCCTTTTTGAAAGAAGTTCTCCTGTGGGTAAAATGCTATCAAACAGCAACACATGCTACAGAGAAATCTTCCATGAAAGGACGTCAGTCAATGTGGCAAATTTCATTGTCGTCTTATTTTAAGAAATCATTACAGAGACCCCACCCAACCTTCAGTAACCACCACTCTGATCAGTCGGCAGCCATGAACATGGAGGCAAGGCATCTACCAGCAGAAAGATCACAGCTCTCTGACGGTTCAGAGGGTCGTTAGTATTTTTTAGCAATAAGTATTTTTAAGTTAAGGTATGCATATTATTTTTAGACATAATGCCTATGGCACACTTAATAGTCTACAGTACAGTGTAAACGTAACTTTTATACAGACGGAAAAACCAAAAAATGTGCTTGCTCTACTGAGGTATTCACTTCACCGCAGTGTCTGGAACTGAACCTGCAATATCTCTGAGGTATGCCTGTGTTTTGGTTTGTTAAGGCCTGGCTCCCCACAAGGGTATAAACTCCTTATGGGCGAGAATTACGTATTTTTATCTTTACATGTTAGCACCTAGCAGAGGCAGCATTCCGAGTAGAATATGTTGCAAATGGCAAGTAAACCTTTTGGAGCCTTGGTCTGCAAAATGACGAGTGGGTTGTCATAATTCTATGGGACCAGGAGAATTAAAATGGTACGACAATGTTAATTAAAACGATGGTTTCAGATCCAATATATCTTTCTCACTGGAATATGAATGAACAAAAAAGGCACAAAATTAAAGAATAATAAAATATTTTATCCTACAGAGAGTTCTATGGGTTTAGAAAACATGCATGACTAACATTATGGTAGAAAACCCACAAGATTTAAGCTATCTACCTATCAATCAATCAATCAATCAATCAATCAATCAAAGTCTCCCCTCTGCCACCCAGGCTGGAGGGCAGTGTTGTGATCTCGGCTCACTGTAACCTCTGCCTCCCGGGTTCAAGCAATTCTCCTGCCTCAGCTTCCCAAGCAGCTGGGACTACAGGCCTGCACCACCAGGCTCGGCTAATTTTTGTATTTTTGGTAGACATGGGGTTTCGCTATGTTGCCCAGGCTGGGTTTTGAACTCCTGACCTCAACTGAGCCACCCGCTTCGGCCCCCCAAAGTGCTGGAATTACCAGCGTGAGCCACCATGCCTGGCAAAGCATTTTAAAAATATACATACTTTTAGAGTATTTTCAAGTTTTGGTAAGATGATCTTTATTTTACCACTTGTTTATAAAGAAATGATCATACTAATTTGGTTTCCTTTAGTTGCTGTTTCCCAAGTCGAGGTTAGTAAGATCTGGTATGGATTTAGGTTATATCAAGAATGAGTATATGCTTCAAAATCCCAGTTCCATCAAGCTTTTCATCATTTTTCTTTTCAAATTACCTCGCTTAGATAAAGATGAAAACCCAGTTAACATTAAAATACTACTTTGTTACATTTTCTTTTGATGGAGATATTAAGAAATGAAGTATCACATCAAAAGATTTAGTCTCTAAAACCAGACATTCATTCTAAAAAAATAGTTACAATGAAATGGGCAAAGTAAGCCTTTATGTAAGAAAGGCTTTTTATGTATTTATTTTTTTACAGTATCAACCACAATTAAGAAACTATTTCTCTGTGCCCATTTTACACATGAATCATTGAAGCAGATGATAACTGTATGCCAAAGAACTTCAGCCCTTTAAATGTGTGACAAAGATTAAATCAAACTGGTCAAAGCTATTCTTGGAATGATCTTTTAAACCTGAATCTGTGTTTGTTGAAGAGCTTCAAGTATGAACGTTCAACGAATATGGCTAAATAAAAACAGTATCTTAACATAAAGTGATTAATTACAATACATAAAAGTGAAATTCCCTTTTAAATAACTGAAACCTAAAAAACCAAAAACC